TCCTTCCCCTCCCGCGCCGCCATCTCTCCATCTTCCCACCCCGGACTCTCCCGCCTTCCTCCTCCCTCTCCGCCCTCTGAGGCCCCGCGCAACTTCAGCGGCCAGACGTGACTCCCCCCACCCTCGCACCTTCGCCAGGCCTCGCCCTTTCCGCCCCCACCCCACCCCCACCCCAACAAAAGTAGCCGTGAAGAGCTCCCCTGAGGCGGCCTGGGATGCCAGCTTCAGGCAGCAGATGCTGTGGGCGGGCAGCAGAACAGGGATGGGGTGCCCCACATAGCCGGCCTTCAGCTGCGCAGGTGCGGTGCCCTATGCGCATTTATTGCCTTCTCTGTGCAGATGGTGTGCTTTCCTCAGGCAGCAAAAAAAGCAGGGTTGACTGACTGAGGAGCTCCTCCTGTTGTCTCCAGGCCTATCGCCTAGCAGTGTTCCTCACCTTTCTGGTCCCTGCAGAGCCCCTCACTCCTGTGAACCATCTCCTTAGTTAGCTCTGCCAATAGCCACATATCTTAGGCCTCTCTTGCTTGATACCAGGAAACCAGAAGACGGGTTCCTCTGAGGTCCTTCACTGAGGTGATCCTGAGCCAAAACCATGCCCTCTCTGGCCCCAAACCACAGAGAAGCCAAGCCGTCTCTTCCCTCTTGTTCTTCCCTCTTGCGTTTTCACCAAAGGTGGTCAGTCAAGAAACAAGCTGCACCACAAATTTTTCACTTCAGGATAAGCAAGGTAAAGGTAAAGGTTCCCCTTGGCAATTTTTTGTCCAGTCGTGTTCGACTCTAGGGGGCGGTGCTCATCCCCGTTTCCAAGCCATAGAGCCAGCGTTTGTCCGAAGACAATCTTCCATGGTCACATGGCCAGTGCGACTTAGACACGGAACGCTGTTACCTTCCCACCGAGGTGGTCCCTATTGATCTACTTGCATTTGCATGCTTTCGAACCACCAGGTTGGCGGGAGCTGGGACAAGCGACGGGCGCTCACTCCGTCGCGTGGATTCGATCTTATGACTGCTTGGTCTTCTGACCCTGCAGCACAAGCTTCTGCGGTTTAGCCCGCAGCGCCACCACATCCCTTAAACGCCACCACGTCCCTAGGATAAGATGACCCCTTTATTGTGGGAAGGAGGAGAACATGGGTCTCGGAAGGCTGTTGGATTGGAGTGCCCATCATTCCTCACCTGTGGCTCTACTTGCCAGGACTGGTGGGAGTTGCTCATCTGGAGGACCTTAGCGATCAGTCACTGAATGATTGCCTGCTTTGAACACAGACCGATGGTGTGCTGAAGTCTCCTATAACCATGCCTAACACCACATTCCACGAGACACAAGTGGGGAAGCTTTGGCTTTCCAGGGTGGGGCTGATGGGCATGGTAGTGCCACATATCCAAGGGACCAAAAGATTCCCCTCCACAATTAATTACTAAAGAAGCAGATTTTTGAGCTGCACTGTATAGGATGGTGTATACTTGGCAAATGTGTAGCAAGAGTATATATGGATGTGTACACAAATATACACATACATTAAGTGGACAGTGTCCTTTCTGTGATGGAAAGCAAACACGTGGTCCTTAAACTAAGGACTACTTGCCTGTCATGTTCTCCACTGACCATGGTAACCTGGGGCCACTTTGAATTTTACCTCTACCAACATCCATTCTATAGTCACTCTCGTTTCATGATATTTTATGTGACTCACTTGTCTTCCTTGCAGCCTCCCACCAAGATCTTGTCACCCGTCCTGTGATACAGTTCTCAGATTCTAACGTAATTTCTGGATACGGCTTCAGGGTCTGAAGTTGAAAAAGCACTCTCGTATTTAAAATATGAAAGCAGCTCCATTCACGTAGAAAACAAGATGCCAAAGGAAAAGGTTCTAGAGTCCACACACTGGTTTTCCTTCTCTGTTAGGTTGTTTTAAAACACCACATGCAGGAACATTAACAAAGGGGACTCTTTGCTTGCTGTTTCAAGTCATTGTGTTCAAGAACGGCAGCCCACTTTCTCCGTCATGCCACTCCCGTATTCTGCCTTCTCCGTTCCTGTCTTGCGCTCTCTCCCAGTCTGCTCTGCAAACGTGGGGTAGATCTGGAAGTTGTGGGTGACTTAAGCTCAGAGATAGCTGGTCGGTGCTTTGTGACTCGAAAGAGAATTGACACCAAAGGTGGCTTTTCCTAACCAATCATTAACCAGGTGTTTCAGAGGTCTGGACTAGACTTTACACGCCAACACATACAAAACTTTTCTTTTGAACCCAGGTGAGAGGGAAGCTGTTTGGTGAGGAGAATGTGCAAGCTGGCTGGAAGAGGGTGAGAAGCAGTGCTTTTTGCTTCACTGCTTCTCTATCTCACATGGCCACCATCAGGATGGCTTTTAAAGAGGAAGAAAGAGTTGTGGGTTATTTGCACAACTTTCCTGTAGCTTGACCCTCTAGGGAGGGATGGGGGGGAATAATCCCTGATTTCCCCCCCCCTTTCCCTCCCTGGCCTCTGCCTCCTGCCAGCAGCGTGAAATTCTATCCCGGTGGAGCATATATTGGGGGAGCAGCAGGAATGTAGCTCTGTGGCAAGGGATATTGTGTTTCGGAAGAACCGAGAGGATAAGATCAGAGTATTGAGAAACAGAGAAGCAGAGGGTGCTTCACTGGAGAGAGAAGGGAAGATCTCAAACAGAGGAAGGATTTTAAAAAGTGGCGCATGGGGGGGCATAGATTTGTCACAGCCAAAGCATTCGTTTTTCATATGGGTTTAACATTAGGACAAGGGCTGGATAGGGAAGCTTTTGAGTCATGCAACATGGCTCTCTATTTGTTTGATATTGGGAGAGACTGAAGAAGAAAATCTATTGGGCGCCCAAGTAGAAAATCTCAGCTGTCGACTTGTTTCGCTCTATGTCCAGATACTCTGATCTGGCTTCTGACAGACTAAAAAGACCAATCAAGGACCATTTAAAAGGACCCCCATAGTCACTGTGATTGCGGTCATAAACTTGGAAAGGAAAATGAATGGGTGCACAGAGCCAGCTGTTGTGGGGTCTGTGGCTTTGGCACTTCGTTTGGCAGTGCTTCTTTAATGTGAGTACTCCCAGAGCAGACAGCTTACAATGGGAGCAAACATTCTGATTTGGCTACGGCTCCTGCCTGCCTGGGCTTCTTTTGCCAAGGAACGTCTTGGGCAACCGTTGTGTTGTCTGTAAGACAGTGTGTGAGGGCCAAAGTAGCATCTGGTGGCTTCAATGCCATTGGAATTCATTGAGGTTGAATACTATAATAACATCCATAAGCAATAGTGGATGTCATTGTAGTTTATATCAAAACTGTGCCTCATTTCTACAACTCACTGTGCTGTTGAGTGCTAGTGGAGCTTTCCCATTTTGACCAATGGGACTTGCCTGCCGGAGGATCATGGGGATCACAAAGCTCACCCGTTATGATTGGCAGGGCTTCCCTTTGCACATGGAGATCATTGGATACTTTTGAATGCAAGTCCCTAAAATGTCAAGCCTCTCATCTGATGTCTCTGCACAAGTGAGCTGAAAGGACAGCATCACGGTCTCAGAGCCCATGCCAGTTTTTGCTGTTCCCCTTAGTTATCAAAGCAGCAAACTGTGTTTAAATCAATGATAGTATGAGGGGGAGCTGATGTATCAAGCCTTTCCCAGAAAAAAAAATGAGCTAGGAAGCTATAAATCGCAAGGTGTACTGGCCAGTTTGTCTGTATTCAATGGTGCAAAATTCAACTAGCTATGATTTTAACTTATCTTTCATGTTCTGGTCCAAAGTGAACATGGCGGCACCTTCAGAAAAGTTCAGTGTGGAAGAGCATAGGACCATAATCAAGTTCCTGTTTCTCCAAGGGAAAGGTGCAAAGTAGATCCATGATGAAATGTCACAAACTATGGGTGACAGTGGCCCTTCATATGCAACAGTTAAGCGTTGGGCTGTTAATTTTAAAACTGGCCATTTCGGTGTGGATAATGAGAAACCCAGTGGAAGGTCTGTTTCTGCCTCTGTGCCTGCAAATGTGAAAGCCATCCATGACATGATCATGGAGGGCCGCCGAATATCAGCCAAAAGTATTGCTATACTGTATATCTGAGAATATCATGTGAGAGAGTTGGTGCCATTATCCATAACGACTTGGAAATGAGAAAGCTGGCAGCAAAGTGGATCCCCAAACTTTTGACAACTGAACAAAAGAGGAAATGTGTGGAGTCATCGGTGGCTGTTTTGGAACATGTTGGAAGAAATGAGTCAGATTTCCTGGGCAAAATGGTAACAAGACATGGATCTACTATTATGATCCTGAGACAAAGGGGCAGTCTAAGGAATGGAGGCACAGTGGTTTCCCCAGGCCAAAGAAGTTCCGAGTTCAAAAGTCGGTGGAGAAGCAAACGGCAACAGTTTTTTAGGATAAGAAGGGAGATCTGCTGGTGGACTACCTCCAACAAGGTTCAACCATCAATGCAAAATATTACTGTACCTTATTGGAGAAGTTGAGGCAAAACATCAAGGAAAAACATCGAGGAAAGCGCTCCAAAGGTGTCATCCTATTGGATGATGCCTCATCAAACACTGCAGGTGTAAGAATGGGAAAACTGTTGTCCTTAGGCTTTCAAGTGATGCCCCATCCACCCTATTCTCCCAACCTGGCTCCTTCTGAGTATTATCTGTTTCCCAAACTCAAAAAACACCTAAAGGGACAACAATTTGGGTGTGTTCTGGGGGCAACTAATGTTGTAAACAAGTGGTTACACCAGCAGTCGGAAGAATTTTATTTGCAGGGACTTAAGAAGCTGCAGGACAAATGTCGCAAGGGCATTGACTTCCTGGGGGAATATGTAGAATATGTGTGGCAGTTACAGCTTCCTAGCTCATTTTTTTCTGAGAAAGGCTCAATACTTATCAGCACCCGTTGTAGTGAGGAT